AACCTGGAAGCAGGAGCTGGAGCACAGGCCATGGAGGAACACTGCTTGCTGGCTTGCTCCCCTGGCCCCTGCTCAGCTTGCTTTCTTATCCAACACAGGCCCACCTGCCCAGGGGTGGCACTACCCACAGTGGGCTGGGCCCTCCCACATCACTCAACAATCAAGAAAATGCCCCACAGACATGGCCACAGGCCAGTCCAATGGAGGCAATTCCACAATTGAGGCTCCCTCAACCCAGGTGTGTTAAGTTGACACTAAAGCCATCCAGCACAGGGAGTAAGACAGCACATAGCAGTGTGGACTTACATTTTCTTTTATTTTTTTGAGAGAGGGTCTCATGTAGCCCAGGCTAACTTTAAACTCCCTATGTTCAAGGATGACCTTGGACTTCTAATCCTCTTGCCTCCACCTTCTGAGTGTTGGGTTTATAGGCACATGCCAACATGCCTGGCTTATGTGATGTTGGAGCACAGGGAGTAAGACAGCACATAGCAGTGTGGACTTACATTTTCTTTTATTTTTTTGAGAGAGGGTCTCATGTAGCCCAGGCTAACTTTAAACTCCCTATGTTCAAGGATGACCTTGGACTTCTAATCCTCTTGCCTCCACCTTCTGAGTGTTGGGTTTATAGGCACATGCCAACATGCCTGGCTTATGTGATGTTGGGGATCAAACCCAGGACTTCATGCTAAGGAAGCACTCTTCCAACTGAGATACATACCCAATCCTGGACTTAAACTTCTTAAACCTGTTTGAGTCTGAGTTAGGTTCATGCTGAATGATGGGATCAAAAAGTGCCTGCTGGGCTTAGAGTCTGGGCTTCCTTGAGAGTCCCTGCCTCCTGCCATACCATGGGACAGGTTCTCAACTGTCCTTGTTCCTGTCCACTCCCAGTGCCTGCTGATTTCTACTCCAATTGGGGTCTAGGCACAGGTCAGGGCCGTGGGGTCTGAACTCAGTTTATCAGTATTTATGCAGCAGGGTAACTTGCAAAGAGCACTGTGGAGGGCTGAGCAATGGTGGCAGGAGAGAGGCTTGGCCTGACTTTTATGCACTTTCCATCTTTTGTTAGACCCAAGCAACCCTGCCCAGGCTGGATGATAGAATTGTGGCCAAATGGTGTTGTAAGGAGATCTTAAGACAGGGATGAGGAAGGACCTCCAGAAGGCGGCATGGACCGCCGGGGAAGCCATAGTGTGGACAGGAGGAAAAGGCCTGGTGGCACAAGCCTGTAATCCCAGCTACTCAAGATCAGCCTGGGGAACTTCATGAGATCGTGTCTCAAAATCAAAAGTAAAGTGATGGGCTGTTGAGATGGCTCATGGGTAAAGGCACTTGCTGCCAAGCCTGATGACCTGAGTTGGATGCCCAGGACCCACATGGTAGAAGGAGAGAATTGATTCCCGCAAGTTGTTCTCTGACCTCCACACACATATTGTAGTGTATTCACACGCACACAAGTGCATGCATGCATACACACAAAAAATAAAGGTAATATAATTTTAAAAAGATGGCTGAGAATGTAGCTCAGTAATAGAGTGCTTGCTTTAGTCTGAGGCCCTGGGTTCAATACATAAAAAAGGAGGAAAGGGCAGAGAGGGGGCCTGCTTAGGAGGAAACAAGGTAAGGCCTGTGATCTGGTCTTTGCCCTGGGAGGGGTGGGGACAGCTGGTCCCCCGGGATGGGCTCAGGGCTCTGGTGGTGGGTCCAGGTGGAAATATACTACTGGGACCTTGGGAGATACCAAGTGGTATCATCTTGATACCGTGAACTCAGATCTCCTCTCTGTAAGATGAGGTCCACCAGGCTTTGTTAATGAGACAGACTTGAGGGACCAGGGATCTCTGGGAAGCTGGGAGCCAGCAACTAAATGTAAATGGAAGGGTAGACTGGGGAGAACACCTACACCAGCACCCTCTTTGAGTACCTTCATCCTCACTGTGGGCAGAAACAATTGCCCCTGGTGTCATACAGAGAGACTAGGGGTTGCAGGAGGCAAAGCTCTGGGGGCAGCAGAATTAGAACACATCTCTCATGCTTCCGCCTCATCCCAGAAGCAGGTGATGAGGCCCAGGAATGATGCCCTCCACCTTGCTCCCCTGATGACCTCCCTGTGATGGGGTCCTGACCCACCCCTGGAGGGCTGGATATTACATGGGATATCAGGAAGAATCCCAGTCCAAAAGCCTGGCCACACCCTCTGTCCCGTGCATTGATATCTGACATCCACTCCTTTGTGGCTAAATGTGCCGGGAGCCCCAAGTTCCATGCCTCAGTGGTCCTCCAACCTGTAGCTCCCTGTCCCATGAACCTCAAGTAGAAAGAGATTTGCCAGGGCTGGGGCTGGGGCTGGGGTCATGGGTTGCCATCCCAGCACTCAAAAGGTAGAAACAGAAGGATCAGGAGTTCAAGGCCTTCCCTTAGCTACAGAGTAGCCAACCTGGGCACAGTGTGCTTGGCAAGGTTCTTCTCCCGGATGTGTTTTGCTATGAGGCCTCAGCCATGAACCTGCCATGTGAAACCTGCCTGTCAGAGATGACTCACTCCAGGACTTACCCCAGTGAGCCAGGTCTGGGTAGCCCAGAGCCTGTGGGATTGTGTCATTAACACAGGCAAGCAGGGGCCAGCCCAGGACAAACACCCAAGGGTCCTAAACAGTGAATGGGCTGAGATTTAGCCCATGGATGCGTGACCTCTGAGTTCCCGGTCTCTTTCCAGCCTGGGGGCGTGTATGGTCTGGCAGATGCACAATGCACACCTGCCTCCTCCTTTTCCTCCTCCAGTCCTTCCCAGCCCTTCACAAACAGTCCTTGAGTCTACTTCCTTCTGTGGGACTCAACTGCATAGGCCTCTGGTGACCTCACTGGACAA